AACTGCTGACCTTTTGGTTAGCAGCCGAGCTCTTAACCACTGTGCCACCAGGGTTCCAAATATAACTTCAGTATATCAATAATAATATCATTATGATAATTATATATGAACATTAATAATATTATCATAATTAAATTATAAGTTCTTGAGTCTCGGGCAGGTTCTTCCCTAGGAGAGTCTGAGGACGCCTGGTTGTGCTGGCTGTATCACAGGTCTATGCTGGTTGATGTTTGTCTCTTCTTGCCTGGTGTTGCCCCAACCTCCTCTGTCAATCATCTCTGTGCCACTCCACAGTGGGGAAACTGGTCTAAGTGTGGATACAGCCTCGCGCTTTAAGACCCAAGTACAGTTAACACAGGTTGTCACATTTAACCACTTCTCTGAGCCTTGAGGATAACGTAAGTAAATTACAGGCAAAAAAGATATAGTTAAACCGGGAGTCAGATGTCAGTGCTCTAGAGTTCATAGGCCACGCCCCTTCATAGAGGACCTTCTCTGCCCATCTTTGTGTTAGTCCCAGGCCTGCGGCCACAGCGCTGGGCCACATTCTCCCCTGTGAGAGCATCACATTTATGGCCTTATTGCCCCTTCTCCCCCCAGTCAAAAGAAGCAAAAACCCATTCACATCATATTTTCTATGAAGAGACACAAGCTGAAAGCCATGAAAATAGCCTTCTTCAAGATCAAACAGAGCGTTTACATCTCATTTTGAAGCACCTGCTATTAGTTTAGGTCTTTAGTTCAGAGACGCCCCAAGATCATCAGGAAGGTTTTCCTTACATTTCATGACTAAAAAGTCCACCGAAGTGGTCGCTTTTTTTTAATGAATTATTTTTTATTTTTTATTGTTCTTTAGATGAAGGTTTATAGAACAAATAGTTTCTTATTAAACAGTTAGTACACATATTGTTCTATGACAATGGTTAACATCCCCATGACATGTCAACACTGTCCCTTCTCAAACTTGGGCTCCCTATTACCAGCTTCCCTGTCCCCTCCTGCCTTCTAGTCCTTGTCCTTGGACTGTTGTGCCTCATTAGTCTCGTTTTGTTTTATGGGGCTGTCTAATCTTTGGCTGAGCAGTGAATCTCAGGAGTGACTGCATTACTGAGCTAAAAGGGTGTCCGGGGAACATACTCTCGGGGTTTCCCCAGTCTCTGTCAGGCCAGTAAATCTGGTCTTTTTCGTGAGTTAGAATTTTTTTCTATATTTTTCTCCAGCTCTGTCTGGGACCCTCTGTTGTGATCCCGGTCAGAGCAGTCAGTGGTGGTAGCCGGGCACCATCTAATTGTACTGGACTCAGTCTGGTGGAGGCCGTGGTAGTTGTGGTCCATTAGTCCTTTGGACTAATCTTTTCCTTGTATCTTGTTTTCTTCATTCTCCCTTGTTCCTGAAGGGGTGAGACCAGTGGAGTATTTTAGGTGGCCGCTCACGGGCTTTTAAGACCCCAGACGCTACTCACCAAGTTAGAATGTAGAATATTTTCTTTATAAACTGTGTTATGCCAGTTGAGCTAGATGTTCCCAGAGACCATGGTCCCCACAGCCCTCCGCCCAGCAATTCAGTCCGGGGTGGTCACTTTTGAAATAAAGGAAGAAGGCCTATACCAAGGACAAATTCTAGCTTCTGTTCCATTGATTCAGCTGATTATTATGCCTTCAAATAGTGGGATTTCCAGCCTTACGTGGGATTTGACAGCCTTTGAGATTGACACTAATTTAAGTAGGAAGAAGAAAGTGCTAAGTTTTTAAAATACCCATTTTCCCCACTAAATTAAGAAGCCTTGGTAGCACAGTGGTTAAAGCATTTGACTGCTAACCAAAAGGTCAGTGGTTCAAACCCACTGGTAGCTCCAAGGGAGAAAGATGTGGCAGTCTGCCTTTGTAAAGATTACAGCCTTAGAAACCCTACGCGGAAGCTCTACTCTGTCCTATAGGGTTGCTATGAGTTGGAATCAACTTGACAGCAG